GGTATGTCAGCTATAGATCATAGAAACAAGCTAATTAAAATCGCCGATGATAGCGAAACAGGCTGGGCAGCCGTAGAAGAGTATGAAAAGAAAGCCATCGCAAGTGATAGCGATGATGATAAAAAGATTAGAAGGGCTCAATCAATTTCATTTAGAAATGTTTCCAAAAAACGTAGAAATAGATTAAACCAAAAAAGGTCAAGTTTCAGAGGCAGCACCGACTCAAGACAACCAGAAGAAGGCACCAGCAGCGGTCAGCAAGCCAAATACAGCAAAACCAGTGGCAATGGTCAGCAAAACCAAAGGAGTGGGCGTTCACGAGAGAACGATATCTGCCGTGCCTGCGGAGGCAAAGGTCACTGGGCCTACGAGTGTTATTCCACATACATGGAAAAACAGCAGAACACTAGCCAAGGAAAGCAGTAAGAAAGGTACGTTGTCAGATTGTGTTATTGCTCCAGAGTCAAAACATGTTAAAGACAGTTTGAAAAGACACATCGAATTTTGGTCACAAGATATCAATGCGCATAGTTATGTAAAAAGCATTATTTCAAAAGGTTATGTTATTCCCTTTTTATCAGAACCAGACAAAGCAGAACTCAAAAATAATGCTTCTGCTATTAGAAATTCAGATTTTGTAACAGATGCTATTCAAGAATTGCTATGTGATGGAAAAATTGTAGAAACAGAATTTCCACCTCATGTTGTCAATCCACTGACGGTCGCAGAGAGTTCAGCGGGTAAGCGAAGGTTAGTACTAGACCTTAGACACGTCAATCCCTATATTATAAGAGACAAGGTTAAGTTCGAAGACCTTAAGGTAGCTAGAGAGTATTTCAAGAAAGATGCTTATATGTTTTCATTTGATATTAAAAGTGGATACCATCATATATCTATTGCACAGGTACATCAGAAATATCTAGGGTTCAAGTGGCAAGTAGGTGAGAATACGAAATACAAGTATTATATGTTTACAGTGTTACCGTTTGGTATATCAACAGGAGGTCTTGTATTTACAAAGATTGTGAAGCCTCTTGTCACAAGATGGAGGAGCAAAGGTATGAGTATAGTAGCATTCCTCGATGATGCCCTTTGTGTGTGTCAAACACTTGAAGAAGCGGTGGATCAGTCGCATCAAGTAAGGTCAGATTTGATATCAAGTGGTTTTATACCAAATGACGAAAAGTCAATATGGGAACCAACTCAAAATATCAAATGGTTAGGTTTTCAGATTGATTTGAAACAGTTCACTATATCTATTCCTGAAACCAAACGTCTCAAAATAATGCAGGATGTACATGCGCTGTGTAGCAATAGACAGAATACTACAGCAAGAGAGGTAGCAAGGGTTGTAGGTAAGATTGTTTCTTTGCAACCTGCAATAGGTAATATTTGTTATCTTATGACAAAACATTTACAAATTGTCGTGGCCAGCAGGTCAGGCTGGGATGTAAGAATAGACCTATCTGTAGGTGCCAGGCAAGAAATACTGTTCTGGAGAGACAATTTGCCACACATGAAAGGTGAGAAAATAGAACAATCACAAGTATGTACTAAATTAGTTTATTCAGACGCATCTGGGAACGCCTGTGGTCACGGTGTATAACCCAAACGCTCCTACACGCGTGACGGAGCGTTTCGTTCACTGCGAAACGCTCCGCAGTGAAATAAAATGGCGGCTTTCGAAGACCGGACGATGACCGTAAGTACTTTATACCTTGTTTCTCTTACCTGTCGTACATTATGGTGACATATTATGCACCATTCGATGAACAACACTACTAGCAAATATTCTATTTATCCGACTTTTGGTGATAAACTAGTATTTGCTTGATCAAAGCTCCGTAGTGTAGATTGAACGAATCTGAAGTTGAGGAATTGTCCTTAAATTACGAATTAAACTAGTATTTATATATAAACGTCTAGGTTTCTATCAAACTAGTAGATCACAAACTCGTATATTCCCATTTGGTAAATTTCCAGCCCAAACCCATCACTCGTTGCCAAGAAATCGCTCGTTTTCCTCGGAACGCTCCGTCCATTTTTGACACAATTCTAGAAACGCTCTTACTAAAGCTTACTATATTTTGATATTGTTTTCAGATGATCAGAGATGAGTTGGGGATAGAACCAATTTCTCCTCGAAAGGTTGTAGTTGGTATTGACCCATCATCTTCACACGCTCAGGTCTTCACTGCGACAGACGGGAGTCGAGAAATGAAGGAAGATAGGCCAACTGCTACGTGCAGCAATATAAAAGATAGCGACGAAAGCTACAAAGTAGTCAACAAACGTTTCATTTGCGAATATTGCAGCTCAGCGTACCCTCGCAAACAGCATTTGGCAGATCACATTCGAGGGAAACACACCGGAGAGAGACCCTTTGTCTGCCCTCGGGGCGATTGTGGGAGTTCGTTCACGTGCAAGAAAGCATTAGGTGACCATGTAAAGACTTGTGGAATTAGAGAAAGACATTTCAAATGCAAAACGTGCGCCAAGTTTTTTAAAGCAAAACGTTATCTTGATGCCCACGTGAAGATTCACGATCCCAACACTCACAAATGCTGTGCCATTTATGGACACGTTGCATTAACTCGTGGGGGCCTGTGGAAACACACAGCAAAAGAACACCCCTTGAGTTAATTTGACCCGACACAAATTTGCACAGAACTATGTTGTTGCTTTATGTATTTGACGTTTTTGATCAGACATTATTCAATTTGTAATTTAGGTAGCTTGGGACTTTATATGAAATCCCAGTATCGATCAAATCGGGTCGTGAATCGCCACAATATAGGGTCTTCGATATAGTATAGTCAATGACAACGCAATCTGAATTCGAGATATTTTGCAAGACAACGGTGTATATGGTAAATTCAGATTCCGTTGTCAATGACGATATCGAAGATTAATTTATTGTGGCGATACATGACCCAATTTGATCGAAATTGGGATATCATATGATACATCAACACAAGAACTTGATTCATGCACAGAATTATACATGCGACGATAAAGTCCCATGAAACGAGGACCAAGTGATTGAAGAGTTGAATGACGGTTATGCCCGCCATTTGTGACAACGGTATCTGACTTTACCGTTGTCAGGCTATTCCGGGGTGACAGCTTGATGTACTTCATTAAATATTCAAATTCAGTCAAAGTGATGCCATATTTAAAATCTGTGTAAAAGTGCAGTACATCTCGAATTGTTTCGAAAATTGTTCATTACTTTGATTTTTTTGGGAAAATGTGACTTCTAGTTCGGGTTGATTCCCCATCGACCCCGTGTTAAAAATCACAAAAAGTGAAATATCTTTTCTTGCATTTGACAGATAACATTTCATTTTACTAGACATATTTTAATTTGTATAACTGTCATACATAAGGGTTATGAGAAAATTGAAACACTTTCTGCCTAATTTAGCACCTTTTCCCTATTCAACCGCGCAACTTTATCACAATCGACAGTGACATAATAAGCCAGGTGATCACTGGTAATTCTTATGGAAACATAATGCATTATTGTAAAAGTCTTTAATTTTCATGAAATAAAATGTGCACTCTGTGGATTTTTAGAAAATCGACATGACAAGGAATGGCATGAACCAGAAATATTTTAAAATTGAAACATTTGTTTGGTGGCTTGCTTGCTAGATTGTTCAATACTGATGATAATAGAGTCCCTAAATGGGACGCTTGAATTTTTAAAACAATAAATCACTTGGCACCACTTGAAAATGTGTATATAAGAATCCGGTTCTTACATATTCAACAAGCAATTGAACAATAAGAAGAAACAAGAATTTTTTAAAATGATATTTTAGCCTGTCGCCAGTTGCATTCGTGAAAGCTCTTTTATCTTTTCATTTCGAGAGAATCTCATAGAACCTCCAAATTGAAATGATAACATCTCTCGCATCATGTAATTTTTAAGATGAGAAGATCTCATTTATATATTTAGTTATTTATTAATAACGTATACGTGTTCGGGTACAAAGTCCCGAACCGCAAAACACATGCATTTTATAGGATCTAATATGTCTCCATCACAGAAACAGCAAAATGAACAGTTGCACTGAAAAAATCTGTCAATTACAAAACAGGTACAATAACATAAAACTGCTTAGTTAGTCTGTGAAAATTGATAATATGACTTTCGAAATTCTTAACATTACATTTATGTGATATCTTGATGTATTGAATTCGAAGCCACTCAACTATGACTGCTGTATAAACTTAGCCTCATTCAAGCAGACAACTTCAAGAGTTAGTGTTATATACCATTTAGTACTCTCAAGTAAGTTGATCTCAAACAGCGTACATATTTTTATGATCTATATTAATCTAGACCCAGACCATGGCATCCAACGTGGGACTTGGCATGATATTGCTTTAACGTTTATGAACATTCTAAATTAACAATACATACTAGTACTCTATTGTACCAATGCTGGTATATTTAGTTTGATATATTTTACTGGATTTGATGATCTAGGATTTCCACAAGAATTCTATAATATATGTAGTATATCAGTTCGTTTTATATCATAGTTGATAATCACAACACAAGTAATTATAACAAAGAATTGTTGATTCATAATTGTGAGTTAAATATGTTGAGAAAAATGATTAAAGGAGATTTAAACCAGCAATGTTCAAACGTTGATTGCAATATGTTCAGAAGTAAATGACAAAAATCTGTTCTGTACCTTACTGCAATGTTGCTGAGTATCAGTGAACAATCTACATATTTTAGCGCAATAGAAGAAACTGTTTTTACAATAAACAACCTGTATCAGATGTATGATAGAACAATTTTGAATGAAGAGTTTATTCACTTCATAAAACTAGGTTTGGATTCGCGAATGCAACTAACGGCCGTCGGCTACCGTACTATTTTATGACTAACTCATTTCAATATGAATGGAATAGTGGCAGGTACATACTATTCAAAAAATGAGTTGTCCATAAAATATAAGGTTAATCCGCAAGCCGACAGCTGTTAGTTGCATTTGCGAATACAAGCTTAGCATATCTCATCCGTTTGATGTTAATTGAGATTTTCAGTGTTCGTGCAATGTGTGTTTAAATCGCCTTTCAGGATTTATGCAATCCTCAAAAGTATATGTCTTTTTATACGTATTTTCGCTGAAAGTGTAATAAAGGCAATTCCATATTGTATTTCTCACAATGTTGTTCACTTATTCATAGGGAGAACAATTTTAGATATATTTGACAGCACAAGTCTGTTAACCCAAATTATGGTCAGGGGGTAGTTGGATTATTATGAAATAATATCTAGAAGTATTGCAGAACTATCCCTTAATCTTTCAATTTAATTCCCAGTCTAGTTGTTGGCAAGATCTTAGACTCATCAACGGAATGAAACTGCCTAACTCCCCTGGCCTTCCTAGTTTGTTCACGAGGTTTCGCAATGTCATCTTGTTTGAACTTCCGTTGTTTTCGTCTCGCCCTCTCCTTCGTGTCGAAAAAGTGATCACTGAAACCGCAAAATGTAATGTTTAAACAATAAATATAATTTTACGATCTTTTGATTTTCTGACTTTGAATATGCAAATAAAGAGAGAATCCTGATTCCTGAATCATACGTTATGTTTACCACCTGAGGCCCGGGTATACCGTAATTAATAAAAAAAATCAGTCTTATTTTTATCCATTAAGCTTATAAAAATCAGTCTTATTCTTATACTTGTAAGTGATCTAGTAAAAGATAATGTACATGTATACACCACGCATTAACAACTCAGTACATTAGCGGGCATTTTAAACATTTTTAACGTATTCCTGGGCCTCACTTTACCACATTGCTTCCTAAAGTACCTGTTCATTGGTATATAAATCCGAGTCTAGGCATACCTTATTGGGATCGTACAAATGACAAGGCGCCCATCAGCAGCCCGCTCGCAAGCTTGATTTAGGTCCCTGTAGAATAAATAGGTACTAAAACGATTGGTTTTACAAAGCGATTATCTTAGTAAAGCTACAAGCTGTTGTGACTCCCTAAACACCTACCAACAAGTATGGGATGTGTGTACCCAGGTAGAGGGGGCATAGGGTCGTGTAGCTTGACTACGGTTATCCTTTTTTAGTCCAATTCGATAATAAGATGCTTTCCGACCCTGGGAACTAAACAGGGAATAAAATTGATAATTGTAAAACATGATATTGGAATCGGAAAATATCAGATTGACACTCAGGCTATCGCCCATGGTTAATATGACACTTTCCATGGCCGATATCATATTTTCCCTTGGAGTAAAATTCATACTAGTATTTCATCCCTCTCATTAAACAATCTTTATTTATTAGTCAGGATTAAATATGGGTTTATTCCTCGTGACAATATAATATTTCCCTTTGACCCTCCGGGCCCTCGGTAAATTTCATATTGTCCATCGGAATAAAACCCATATTGAATTCCTCCGACAAATAATCCTCTATGTGTTTCCCCGAACTGACAAGTACAATGACGAAAAATAATAATATCCGTATACATACATCGCATTATTAATCTGTCCCGCCATGTGTTCATTTATGATACTATCATCTCTCCTGGCCTCAAGGAGGGTATCGTTCGATAGTTGATCAGTAGTTACATATGGACCATCGTTTACGTAGGTCGATGGTTTACATTCCCCCTCGGTTGATACGCCATCAAGTTTCTGCTGGGGATACACTGGTCTTCTTGATGTTGACATGGCAAATGACCTACATGTATAAGATCACACAAAAAAACTTAAAAGCTATGTATTATTAACATGCTCTATGATTATATCATTGCTAGAAATCGTGTGAGTTGATTGGCTATTTCAGTACCATGTGATGAAAAATACCATAGCGTATTTCAAATTTTGGACTATATAAGACTTAATGCCCGGTGTATTGCCCTCATGGGAATTCTGACAACTGCACTGGACGAAAACAACTGATACTTACGTTGTTGTATGAAGTTATTGGTTTATAACATATTTATTGATTAAAAATATATGTTCACACAATATGTTCACAATATTCTATATTTCTTAGAAATGCATTTAGTGATCGGGAAGAATGTCTAGCAATTATATAATAAAGTAAATATTTCATTCTACAGGGTGTCCGGAAATTAAAGATACAAATACTCTTATTTTAAGAGATTTGGGGTTTCTGAACTGGAAATTGCTACAGAATGTAGAGGAAGGTTATAACAATATATCTATCAACTTTCATATCATATAGTCTTAATGTGTTCAAGTTACGGTTGTTATGGTTACGGCTGTGACAGGTATGCGGAGCAGTTCCAGAACTTCGCTAAAATGTGATACATTGCTAAAATACAACCATATGAAACAATGTTTTTTGTTTTTCACGATTAAGTGTACTCTACTTACCTGCAACTTGGGTTATGTCTATAATGTAGAACCTCAGTAACAGTTGACATCAATCGTCCAATATGTGTAGCTTTAGGACAGCCTAGTTTTGTTGGCTCAACCTCTGACAATTCGCCAAAGAAATTTTCGTTTACAAGGCTAGATACTGCCCTTTGGTTGTAGGGTCCAATGAGCGCATACAACTGCATATGTGTGTCAATACTTTGAAGAAACCCTTCGAATGCGGTTTGGGGTATCCCTTTGATATGGGAACCATATGGTGGAAAGATTTCAAAATCTACTTGGTCGAGGAGGAACCTACGGAAGGCTAGTCTGTACATCACTCTATCTTGCGCGCTTATTCCAGGTTCGTCCTCTGCTCTGTACCAATTGCGTATTAGACTTCAACAGGCAATGTGCCAGCTGTGTCTCCAAGGTTCAAGTCGAGTTCCTCGCTAGTCTCCTCCTCATTGTTTAGAGATACGTCATCTTGATCGTGGACTAATCTGTCTTTACTGTCATAGTCGAAAACCTGTTTATATATTTTCCCGAGGAGATCAAACGTAATCGTGATTCTACCATCGTCAGTCTTAGACGATGAGTATGTGATGCTTTCTGCATTCACATTACTCAAACTTGTCAGGAGTTCTTCTTTTGTCATCTTCTTCGTGGTTGCCCATACGTCTTTCTGCAGTTGGAGTAACGTAAGTGGTTTACCATCTTTTGAACGATTGGCAATCTTTGCCCATTGTCCGTCGAATGAGAGGCACGGAACTTTTATTTGTTTTTCCTGTAAAAAGGACATGATCTCCTCGTTCATCGATCGCATAACTGGTGTTGGGAGACTATAGCCAACGTTTGCAAAGGCGACTGGAACAGCATGCACCTTTTCTTTATCCCATAACCGATCGGTTGTACTGAGCATCCATACCAACACTTCTGTGGACTTTTTTCGACTGAGCTCATACGCAGTGTTCAATGCTTGTTCTGCTTTTGAAAGGACATCGGATTCACTATAATTTGAATATGGTTGAATTTCCCGCGAAGATGAGTTGAAAATGTATGGATATTTGGGGGTCGGTGAAGATACAGAGACATTGTTGTCAACTGCAGTTAGAGAGGACACCTCACACAAAAACTCGACATTTGTTCTTCTGAAACTCTTAATCTTTTCCTTGAGTAACTTAGATGTGTTGCTGAGCCTCGTGGGTTTCTTTGGCTTTCTATCTCCGTATACCATTTTGCATTCTGCTTCCACATCGGACCATATATTTTGATCGAAATGCACGATGAAACACGTCGAGCTTTCTTCACTCCAAGAAATGTAAAGAAGTTTATCTGTTCCAGACGAGGCCATGGAACATAGGGTTTGCAGGACATGTTCAACTGGCCAGTCGTCACCAGATTTTCCCATGTACGCCACTGGAGTTTTGTAATCGGCTGGTACTCGGCATTTAGCCTCCACACTTATCTCTGACTTGATAATACCGGACAATATTCCCTCTGTCAGCTTTTCACTTGATCTGTAATCATCTGGCAATTGCACCAGCATCCCGTCAAGCGATGACAATATTGAGGAAGAGTCATCATGCTTGATGATTCTAGAGCCTTCTTCAAGATAAGTGTATTCCGGAAAATAGACAGGCATGATCTTCCCTACAAGTGTTGCTATTGCATTTGGTTCATTGCGAGTTCCAAATTCCATGTTCCACTGTTGCTGAGCAGATGGCGTTTCTTTTTCTTTCATATTTACTTTTGTGTTGAAATGTTCCAACTGGTCTTTTAGAGTCCTCATTCCCAAACCTCGGTGTAGTGTGCTACCTGGATTGTAAAACAGAACATTAAGACTTAGTTGAGATATTAAGTTTCAGATTTGGATTACGACTTGAATAACGCAGATGCGAGTAGGTAGTTACCAGTTTCACCACCAGGTGGCTCGTTCGGGTCAGATAGCATGGCGGGTATAGTAGAAAGTTCCCTTTAACTTAAATTACATCTGTTTTAGTGGTTCAATTTTCATATAACCCTTGTGTATCTAATAGTTATGCAAATCAAAATATGTCCAGTAAATGAAAATATTATCTGACCAATACAAGGAAAGATATTTCACTTTTTGTGATTTTGTAACATGGAGAATCAACCCGAACTAGAAGTCACACTTTCAAAAATAATAATCGCTTTGACTGAATTTTGAATATTTAATGGCGTAAATCAAGATTTTTTCTTCTCGCATCTAGTCTATTGATTGAACATAGAACATGAAAAGGGAACATGAAGTTAGGTTTACATTATAACTTTTGAACATTTCGCATGCATGTTATTTAATTTTCAATTGATCGTATTTCAGGTAAGGCTATTTTGATTTTATTCTCTGTTATATTATATTACTTGTTAAAGTATTGCCATCTTTAAATACGCAATTTATTTCTATACAACCTATATAATTGATAATTCAATATATATACATTAGTGTACATTATTGATTAATTAATTTATTTCTATATTTATTTATGAATAAATATACTCCAACACAACCTCAACCATTCATTCACCAGACATGCTTATAGGTTTATAGGAATCTCATGCAATATGCGATTCACCTCACAAAAGTCCCTGGTTGAAATTTACATTTTACAGTTTTATATCTCAGTCATCTCAGTCGCTACGGCGATCATACGATCTACTGTTTCTACGACCAATGGCATTTCCACAGTCCACGGTCAGATGCTTTGCAATCACATTTACTACGATACCCTCATGGCGTATTTTGATTTTTTGGCCTTTGAAATAATGACGCGTGTCACCTTAGGGCGCCCCTATGGCAGACAGTTTTTTACTAATACCAAGGAGGCTTTGTGGCAATTCTTCTGTCGTGTGAAATGGTCAATTGTAACACATCAAATCTTAGAATATCCGCAAATCGATCGTACACCCGTCTTTAAGCTACCTTTTGGGGTTTGGCTACGGCTTACCAATTCTACGGGGATCGTAGAAATTGAAAAGCTATAGCTACGAGTTATTGTCTTTCTAATGTGAATATACGAAAATCTTACGTATACATTTTTCCAGTGACTGGATTCAACCATGGGTGGTGACTTTAAAACTAGGGACTTAAGTCCTGCTTGTTAAATTATAAAAGGGTTACGCTTAGAAGAAAGTCAGACTCAAACAAGCAACACAAGATACTCCAAGACGACAAGATTCAAATGTACGTCTTAGTATTATATCAATCAACATTACAATTCACCTGAAAATCCATTTGCACCTTCCTGGAATTGTGAAAAATTGGCATATTTAGTTTTGGTCTGAATTGTAAAAATGAGAATTTTGCAACCACTTGAGAAAAATTCCTGGGGGATTACTGCAATGTTATTTTTAGTCTGTTTAAACGTACCCGTTATCCTATAATTAGCCCTAACGCAATGCCATTTCTCCGTACGTTGTTCCAGAAATAAAGTATTGGAATCGGCTAGGTCACTGTCTCTCAATCGTACCCAATTGGGCTGGCATGTTACCTCAAGGCGATCTTTAACTGCATTCTGCATTGCAATTTCCCGAACTGGTGCTTGTGATGTATCAATTACAATCATACCAATAAGGTCGTTTACTTCTAATAGCATCAGAATCGCTACTCTGATTTCTTCAAGCATAGCTTGGGTACTGCTTATTGCCCAAATCCACTTCGAATTACGCCAGTTGTCTCCACCAAGTTTCTTGAATTTAATGAGACCAAGTTTGAGATTGCGATTTGTTTTTCGAAGTTGTTCTATTCGAGACGAACATTTTGTTATCAAAGAAAGATAGTCCGTTGACCTTTCAGCATCGTGTAATTTGTTTTTTATATCACGAACGAACATGATTTCAGCCTCGATTTCCTTTTGCTTTTCTTCAAGAGATTGTTCAGGCTCATTGCCGAATAAATCTATATCACCGCCTTCTTTGGAGAGTCCAGCAGCCGTTCGTTTACCATCGACACTCAGAACGTATTTCTTGTTTTGATCAAGCATGGGTACACACTCTTTGATGATACCAGGTTTGAGAACACGTGGTATGTTGATATCAACACCCATAAAGTTGCTGACGACAGAAATGCTAGGAGTGGCAAAATTGATGCAATGTTCAGGATCTTGTGGATCGTACCTGTACTCACCAGTTTCTTCATCAGATTTTATCAAACTTCCACATGACTTGGGTCCACTCATGAAGCGAATAAATTTTCCATGGAAGAGCCTGTAGCCTATTTTCCAGAATGTTAATGTCTTTATGCTGTAAGTCATGCGACTTGTGTTTTCTAGAGAAAACCACCTCACAACATCCAAAAATAATAGCCAGCATATGTTGTCCATTGGGAGCCTATTATTAGCAAGGAGATCAAGAAGCATTAAAAACTCGGGACAAAACTTGTTCAATCGCAGATTTGAAACAACATCAGGAACAAGTTTTTGTGCTCTCTTCAGATCTCTTTCATACTGTGTGTCAGCTGATGATTGAAATAGTGTCTTTTTGGGTTTTTTGACGTGTCTTTTTTTATTGGGTGCATTTTTGTGCAGGTCCCTTAAATTAATAGTACTCAGTCTATTGGACGGTGATGGCGTCTTGAATGATTGATTACTAGTAGTTAAATCACTAATATATGTTTCATTCGACATTTTCCTTCTTTTGATTCCCAGGGAAAGAGATGATCTTTTCTTTCTCTTCCTGAAATTGAGAATCAAGAGTATATATTTTCTAAACATATCTCCTTTACCATAGCGTTTCCGCTTCAACATGTAAATCAGAACGGAGCGTTTCTTGAATATGAGAATGGCATCATTTTTAGACTGGATTTGCGGGCATTTAATTACAAATACGATAATGTATGGTGCCTTATATCTTTGAGATTTGAATAAAGTATACTTTGATGCTCTAATCTTTGCTCAACTAATCATATGTGTCGACAAAAAGGTCTCGAACCGGCAGATTGACAAATACGTTTATGAATTTTGATAACTATACTGCTTCGTACAGCTCTTCCAAATTGCTTAGAGATTCAACAGTCAGCCAAGTAAAACCGGAATACCACGTCCATCGAATGTTTTACTCCAAATAAGTAACACATACCTCTTAGTCCCAATATTGGGGAAATTGTTGGAAAGATCGTCATTTCCCCCCGCCATTTTTTCTACTCCGGAGCGTTTCGTTGTTTAGATTCAGTAACGAAACGCTCCGTCACGCGTGTAGGAGCGTTTGGGTTATACACCGTGGTGGTGGGTACGTCGTAGAATATGAGACAGAAAAAGCTCATTATACATTTTCCGATTCTGAGAAAACAAACAGCTCAACCTGGAGAGAACTCAAAGGAGTACAGGTAGTAATACAATCTTTGAAACATAGAATCCAAAATCAAAGAGTCATGTGGTCGACAGATAATCAGAACATTGTAAATATTATCAGAAAAGGTAGCATGAAACTAGATTTACAGTATTTAGCATTAGCTATCTTTATGCTATGTAAGCAGTTCAACGTCAGGTTGTCAGTTCAGTGGATTCCAAGAGAGAATAATGTCATAGCCGATGAAATAAGTCGCATAGTTGAGACAGAAGATTGGAAAATTGCCAAATGGGTATTTACATGGCTGGACCAGCTATGGGGTAAGCATACAGTAGACAGGTTTGCTTCTAGCAAAAACAATCATGTAAACCGATTCAACTCAGAATATTGGTGCCCAGGTACAGAGGCAGTAGATGCATTTTCTGCGAGTTGGAAAGACGAAAATAACTGGCTAGTACCACCAATAAAATTGGTTTGCAAAGCAGAGAAATATGCATGTTTTCAGAGAGCAAGAAGTACATTAATTGTTCCGAAGTGGAACAGCGCGGCATATTGGCCATTGTTGCATAACGGTATCAGGTACCGAGAATTTATCACACAGGTGATGAGATTCCTATGGGGACAAATGTATATATAGAAGGTTCACAGAAAGATTCTGTTATAGGTTGCAAATTTCACGGTATAACTTTAGCATTGAAGTTATTTTGATGAAAAAATTAATGTAAATGAATCGCAGGGTTCGTCAGCCAACAAGGTTCTGGTATAGAATGCATATATTTGCCTTGTAATGTAATCTGTTTCAGGTGTATTCGACGAAATAACGAAGACAGAGCAATGGTCAGAATTACAAAAGGACATTACAGAACCAAAGCTTCAAATCCTCTTCGATGAACTGCCACGCCAACTATTAAAGTCCAAGGAGGATTCTACGGTCAGATCTTATACTGCTAATTTCAGTAATTTTAACACATTTGAAAATGTAAAATATTTACCAGCAAAAACTATTCACGTAACATTGTATTTACTCAGCTTGATTCAAAATGCAGTGACAGTTAGTATAGTGAACAATGCAAAATACGCCATAGCATGGGCACATGAAACGGCATGTTTACCAAATCCATGCGATAACATAATGATAAATAAACTAATAGAATCAGCTAAAAGATCTCTTGGTCAAGGGACAGTCAAAAAACAACCAATTACTCCAGAAATGTTAGAAAAAATTGTAGACAATTCGGACAATTCATACATTAACCTTAAATCATTAAGAACAATTACATTCATGATATTAGCGTATGCAGGTTTCTTCAGATATGATGACATTTCTAGGCTAAGATCAAAGGACATACAATTCAAACAAACACATATAGATATATTTGTAGAAAAATCTAAGACAGATGTATATAGAAACGGTAACAGTGTTATTATTGCAAAAACTTGTAACAAGCTCTGTCCATATACATGGTTACAAAGGTATTTTGAAATGGCAAAAATCAAACAAGATTCAGAAGAATATATATTTAGAGCATTGACATGCAAGTCAAATGGTTATGTTCTTAGAAACACAAACTCAAAACTGAGCTATTCGGCTTGTAGGGCTATGGTAATAAATGCCATCAAAAACATAGGTTTTGACTCGGAAAAGTTTGGTACTCATAGTTTGAGAGCTGGAGGGGCTACGGCAGCCGCAAGGTTTGGTATACCTGATAGAGTATTCAAGTCACATGGTCGATGGAAATTAGAATGTGCAAAAGACGGATATGTAGAAAGTCATTTAAAAGAAAGAATGTCAGTAACTTTAAACTTAGGGATTTAATATCATATACATCAGCATACTTTTAATTCTCGGCATACGCAGCCATTGCTAAATAAATGATTATTTTGTTCAGTTTGTAAGAGCAAGTGCGGGGAATGATAAGAAATTATATTTTCTATCGTTTTGAAGTATGAATGAGATTGAAAATAATTTTCTGATCATTTTGTTAGCAGTTGCTGAAATAGAACGAGGTTAGATTCTGAGTGTAAAGTAGTAGCCAATAGAAAAGTAGTATTTTGAACAAAGGGTAGTATGAAACTAAGGTAGTCATTCTCGGCTTTTTGCCTACACGAGTAACACCTAAATTTCAGCCACAAAAATTGTACAATAGTTAAAATTAATAAATATGTTATACATTTTAAAATAGAATATACGAAATGGCTCTTATATCATAAAATAACACGTTTATAGTTTATTTTCAGAGAACATGGCCTTCAGGGGCAGCACAAAGAACAAACCATTCTGGACAGTAATGCCTTATGGGTTATAGACGAAGCCTTCTGGGGCTGTCTCAGATGAAGCCTTCTGGGGCCGAGCCTTCTTGGACTGTATTATAAAGCCTTCTGGGGCTGAGCCTTCTGGGGCTGTATCAGATGAAGCCTTCTGGGGCTGAGCCTTCTGGGGCTGTATCATACGAAGCCTTCTGGGGCTGCACCAATGAACATTATTCAGGTTTTATAAATAGTTTAACGGGAGTGAAAGTTGACACCCCGGGTTAACACGTCTTTCTGCCAAGTTCTAAATCCCACGCTCTGTTTTACAGAGTGACTCTGCTTCATTCAGGCGGGTGAACCACCTGCATGTTTCCCTATAAAGGGTTTTTTCAGGTTGGTAGGCCGAAGTTGAGTCAGAGGCATTTCAGACGTTAACACGGTCTCTGGGACCACATAGCTAACCACGATATAACCAAAATTTCAGTGTACCCACATAGACATTAATAAACGTTACTCTCGGCATACGCAGCCATTGCTAAATAAATGATTATTTTGTTCAGTTTGTAAGAGCAAGTGCGGGGAATGATAAGAAACCAGAGTATACATGGTATATAAAACGCTTGAAAGCTGTCACGATCCTGGAAAACAAAATTGCAAACCTGGATATATTCGTGTGAATTGCCAAGAGTAAATAAGTTAAATGTATAAATTCCTTCAACTTCTATTGGGAGTGTATTGCCCGAGCAGTTGATATTTATAATATGTCCCTTTCATATTGGAATTGCTGTCTATTCTTTAATCTACATTGCGTATGACCAGGCTGTTACAAAGCAAGACATGAGCAAGAATATGTTGAGGCATTTTTGATCACATGGTACTGCAGAAACAAATCTAAGATTTTCGATTTGATTTAATATTGACACGTTGCACGTATTAAGCATTCTATAATAGGGAGTTTAAGCTTCCACTGTTTTTCACAACATAAACGCGAACGTAAGTTATTTAAGCGATGCATTTGTATCGGCGATTAGACATACGTATAGGTTGGCGTTTCGATTTTTTATGCAAGTTTAAACTCCCTAATACCCGAATATAATACCTATAATATCTGACCATTCAGAATACAACGTACCCATTCTTTGCCTTAAACAGATGCACGGTTATGTTTGGTTTATCTCAAAGGCAAAGAATTGACTGGTGTGCTCAAATCCTTAATATATGGTAACAGTCATTCTGATCAAGGAGTCTATCCCTTGTTCTGATTTATCAAATGCTTCATTCCAGGGGATAGTAGGAAATGTGGATCCCAAACATTGGGTAATAGTTGTTTTACTAAGACATGGACGTTTTCATAACGGGTATAATGCTATTGCATTAATACACGTATTCCATTGTTCGGTAGAAATGAGCTTATAGAAAGCATAAGTTATTATTTTTTACTGTTTTTCATTTTTGTCTGATTGTATTGTATGAACGTGATTAATCACGTCTGCCATCGAGGTCATTCACTTTTAATTCGATATTATTTGATCTAAATGCAGACCTTCACCAAGGCCCTGTCATGTGTATACTAATTTTGTTTGAGAACCCATCAATACGCAAACATAACTAGCTATAGAAAAGATATATGCCGTCTACGTAATAAATTAGATAAAATGATTAAAAAAATACTTAGCGTTATGTACCTTAACACAACATCTAATAAAAGTTAATTGAGAGACCATGTAACTGCCATTTGCAATTACCTTTAATTACTATTCTACCATGTTACATATTCAATGAGGTCACGTGAGAAAGCATTGCGCACGCAACAGACGTTTGAAATATCAGTGTGTTGCAGACACGCGAATAGAACAGACGTATCGCCTTTGGTGCGATATATACGGTTAGTGAATTAAAAGTTTTTCATTAAACCTTCACTTATTATTGATCAGTATTCTGTTAGGAAGCAAAAGAGTATAATTACAATTTTGTTATCTATGATGCTGATTATTTTCATCATTTTGACACGGTCAATTTGATATTTCATTTTCTTTGTTCCGTTTCCTTTGTTTAAAAAGGCGGGAGAAACAGTCAATAAATATTGACTCACCCTTTAATGCCTTTATGCATACGTTTTCCTACCACACTGCGTGGAATTAAAACGTCCTTTGACCATTCAACTGTTCAAAAACAGTTATTTATACGTGCTGTCGCATGATTGTACAATTCTGAGTACAAAAACATTCCACGTGCAATATCATTGACACGTTCAACTGCTCAATAGCAGTTCTGCTCAATAGCAATCAGTTCATGCGTTCAGAGTTAGTGCATGTATAAATCGTATGCAATCGAACATGTCACAAGCATTAAAGTCTAAACCTTCCTTTCAAGAAGATTTGGACAGTGGAACAAAGACAAAATCTTCAAAGAAGTCCAGCTCTGTAAAAGCTAAAAGTTCCGACAAGTCGGTCATTATGAAGTCGCCAAGCTTGACATCAGAAGCCACTGCCTCTTCAATGGGAAGTGAGCCTTGTAAATCCACGAACAATGAATCTGGTATCCCCGTGAGCTTTGTACAGGATATTACAAATGCTATTAGCACGGGATTGGGATGTATCAAAGATACTATGGT